CCCCCCCCCCCCACGCACACCTTCCGAAGCGCCGCGCTCCGACCCTCAACCGCCCGCAGCGAAACGCGCAGGGCCTCGGCTCGAGACAGAACGCCACCGAAAGCTCCGCCCCTCCTCCCCGCGCAACCAATGGCAGCGCGCCGGCCGCTCCCAACGTTCGGTTTCCGAACGCCGAGTATCTTCCGCGGCTTCCGCTTCCCCGGAACTGCGCCGCCTTAAAGGGGCCGCGCGCCGCACTTCGGGCAGGTGTGCAGGTGGACGGCGCTGAGCGAGGAGGCTCCTCTCTACCCGAGTCCGGGCAGAGAAGCGAACCAAAAAAATCTTGGACGGCACTTAATTCCCTTCTTTTTTTTTAAATCCTCCCTTTCTTTTTATAGCATGCATTTAATTGTTAAAAAGACACACAGGTAGACCTCTCCTTACAATAGTTCGTTTAGTGACCGCTGGAACACCGGCACTCAAAAAGGTGACCTGTGACCATTTCTCACACTGACCAACCAGTGCAGCGTGCGTGTGTGTGTGTGTTACGAGGGGTTCAGCCAGATTCGCTTAAAAACCACCGTGCTACTAACCTAACCACGACCTAGAGCGACTCGCTTTACAACTGTGGTCATAAAAACGGGGGCAAACCCCTCCCCCTTAATCAAACGCCTGATTTAGCAGCGGCAAGGCGGGGGGGGGAGGCGGCTCCCTGGTGGTCGTAAGTCGAGGACTGCTCGGGCTTACGCTCCAGGGAGGGGTTAACGAGGGGGCGTGTCCTCGCGAGGCCCCGCCCCGCCTCCCCTCCCCCCTCCGTCCGCGGAAAGAGCCGCCGCCGCTTCCCCGGCCGCTTCCCCGCCCGCCGCTCCCATGGCCTCCACCGGGGTGCTGCCCTTCATCCGCGGCGTCGATCTCAGCGGGAACGACTTCAAGGTGAGCCGGGCCCCGGGAAGGCGGGCGGTTCAGCCCCTCCGCGGAGCCCCGGCCGGGCAGGGCTGGATCGTGGAGCCAGCCGATGCCCAGCCCTCTGTCCGGCGGACTCCGACTCCCCTCGTCCCCCGCCGCCGCCGCCGGGGAGGGTGGGAGTCGGGATTCCCCCGGCCCCGCGATTCAAGCCGCCGGGAAACTTGGGAGGGGGCGTCCCGGGGCTCTGAAGTCCTTCAAGACGGGGGAGACCCCGGCCTGACCCGGGTTACGCGGAAGAGCCCGGCGGCCGCAGGAGGTTTTGGGCGGAATAGATGCAGTTTCGAAAGTAAAATAAAAGTTTGGGGTATGTATGTATATATGCGTGTATGTGTGTGTGTGTGTATGTATATATGTGTGTGTGTGTGTGTATCAATATGATATGATATGATATATATTCTGGGAGTTTTAAGTCCCCAAGTCTTAAAGTTGCCAAGGTTGGAGACTCTTGATATGAATTTTGTGTGTGTGTGTG